ATGTGATTTGTATTCGGTTTGTCTTTAAAACTAGGTGTGACAAGTTGTGAAGCTCTCGACAAAAAGTCAAGATTTTTAGAAATCGATTGATTGAGTTTTGACATTTTTATTCCGATGTCTGTAGTTGAAAACTGCAAAGACATTGCGATACTCAGTGTCGCCTTCGTTCATCTCTAATCACTTCTTTATCTTTTTTAGCCTAGTTTCTATGGTACGTAGCCGCTGTGATTATGAAATTTTTGCTAGTGCTTCTGAAGAGGGTCATGTGTTGTTTCGAGATATAGGCTGCTCTCTCTTGTTTCTAAGAAGAGAAAAAGTTTAGGCTCCCGTTCACTCTACTTCGATCGTCGTTCGGTTCTTTAAATTGAAGTTTGTTATTAGAATATATATCGAATTGTCAATGTTCCCGAGGGCCGGTGTTGTCCACTTTGTCTTGGACCAACCTATATAGCCCATGTAACATCGGGCTATTCGTAGTGTTGTCCACTTTGTCTTGGACCAACCTATATAGCCCATGTAACATCGGAACTATTCGTGAGTAGAAAGCTTGCATGCGTACGTCCATCGACATTCCAACGTGATCTGACACGACAAACCATGCGATCCATTGGATGCTCGCAACGATTGTGGAGCTCGTGTTGCCCACGCCCACGCTTGCCTGGCGATCGTGTCGACTTTAGTTCGCAATGCATCCTCCCTATACGAGCCGAGTAGAGTAAAGCGTTGTTCACACGGCCGGCCAGGACCAGGAAGCCGGCTGCCAATGCGCCGTCGCTGTCCCCGCCGGCCCGCCGCCCCACCGGGCGCGCATCGCGCCGGTGGTTTCGCCGTCGGAACCGGCCGGTTTCCCAGCCCGGACCGATCGAGGCGCGCAGGTCTTCGGTTCGCCACTGCCGCGCCGTCGTGATCTCAGTACACTGCACGCACGTCCCTTTCCAGTCGCAATTCACAAGAGGCAAGTAAGCAACATGGCGCGCTCGGAGCCCGGCGGTGGGATCGACGAGATGTCGAGGTCGAGACCGCCGAGTCCGATCCGGCACATGGCGTTGCATGGCTTTTTCGGAGTGATCCGATCAACGAGACTGAGGGACGCGACTGCCCGGCCCTTCCCGCGCCGCCCGTCCGGCGGCCTCCCGGCCGGCTTGCCTGCCTGTTCGCTTGAGCTTATCGGTTTGACTTATCATTTGTGGTATAGTGTTTTTCTCTCATAGTAAATTAGCGAACAATATATTTCAGCTTGGCTTTTCAGCCAAGCGAAGCGATGGGGCTCGATCGGCGTCGTCGGAGCCTTTTCCTCTCCATCGCGCACGCTGAAATGCACTGCGGCCTCACTGGTGCCGCTCCACCAGCGAGAACGAACGAAGCAAGTGCTGGACCCCCACCATTGGATTCACACGTGCGCGAAAGGGCAGAGAGAGGGTTACCACTCAGCATCAGGGCCATCAAGTCCAGTGATTGAAGAACCTTCTTCCGGTGGCGCACCTCGTCAGGTCAGGCCACACCACTCTTGGTGTGTGTTGCTCGGCTGGTCCCGTCCCCGGCGCAGATAGCTACTACCTGTGTGCTGCGGTGCGACGCCACGCATTCGTTGTCTTGACTCACGTCCTGTTCGTTTGGACTTGTTTGGCTGATAAGTCATGGCTGAAAGTACTGTTGGCTAATTCAGTGTGAGAGAAAAATATTGTTCGTTGACTGAAAAAGTACGGCTTATAAGCCAAACAAATCCAAACGAACATGTCATCAAATGCTCGTCAATAAAGATGAAAACCCTGCACAGATGACAGATATGATATTAGATGCATGGATGCATGCATCGGATCGGAAGGTCATCATAGTTGTTTATTGGAGTAAGTCACTCTGCAGAGCCAAGTCAAATGTCGTTAATGGGCATGCAACAAGAGTTCTCAAACGCTTTCTTTCCTGAAATGCAGAGTTTTGGTGCGAGCGAGTGCCGCACAGCTCACCCTGCACTGTACTTTTTTTTTTTCAGTTGACATCGCTAAAGCTTTCCGAAACGTACACGGAGCACGATGGCATGAATGAACTTGGGTCAGATGGGCAAAATATCTAGGCGCGCCCGGTAGCCAAAATAAAAAGGACTGGACTGGATCTTGTTGGGAACTGTTTTTTTGATGTAGTGAGCGCCGGTAGTGCATGCCCAATTAGGGTTGATGAGTTTTAATAAAAGACTAGCACAAGGTCGAGTGGTGACCTGCCAAATTCCACTTGTGGCGTCTCAAACGAAAACTGTGAACGCAGCAGCAAGATACGAAACCAGAATTATTGTTCAATGTTGTACTATAGAAACCGGAAAGAAAATCCTTCGCACGGAGAAAATAGTTAAGAAAATAGTTCACCTTCAAAAAAAAGAGAAGAAAATAGTTGATTGATGGGCACCACTCAATTCTAGATGACGAGTCTACTGACTTTTTTCACCAACACTTTTCATCCTAAAATATAAGAAATTTAAAGTTGTCTTAGATTAAACTACTTCTAGTTTGACCGAATTTATAAAAAGAATAACAATATCTATGATATTAAATGATAATAATTATATGAATATTATAAATATAGTTTTAAAATTACCTCTTTAATGTGTTAGATGTTAATATTCTTTGTTATTTATAAATCTGGTCAACCTTAAGATAATTTAATTAGGAAAACTCAGGTCCCTTATACTTTAGAATGGAAGGCAGTAAAGAACACTAGCTAGCTTCTACTTAGCTATGTACACTCATAGCTAATCTATCGGTTCATTTATATGGTAGTTAGCTCATCTATAGCCTATTTATTTTTCTCATGAAGTTTTTTTAGTTCTTGTGCATAAGCTGGTTATCAGTCTGTTCGCCTGTTCGTATTTGGCTTATAAACCATGGTTTATCAGCCAACAAACAGTATTTTTCTCTCACACAAAACCAGTCAACAATGCTTTCAGCCATGGCTTATAACCCAAACCAGCCCAAACGAACGGGGCATATAAACTTACAGCTAGTTTCACTTCTCTCTCTTTCCCCGTCTCCAGCACCACAAAATACAACCCATCTGCAGCCCTTTACTACACCTGTTCTTAATAATTTGGGAAGGCATGTGAGCACTTTATATATTCTTAGTTATCTTGTAGTACTTATGTATCGAATTACTGGAGAAATTTCGTACTTGTTTCAACGTGGTTTACCCTAGGATAAAACATCTAGATCCACCATTATTCTCAATTGGCATGGACATAAAAAACTCACCGGAGAGGAAGATAAAAGCGACAATTGTATTATTATCCTAAAAATCACATACTCATGACCCAAATACACCATCAATGCTCAGCTCAGCTATGCTAAATAGAGCCTTAGGATAATCTCAGTAGAAGTTTTTTGAGAGTTTTATTTGCATTTAATAACCTGCCACATAGGTATTTTTGACAACATGACTGTTTTATGAGGAGAAAGAAGTGAATTTCATGAGAATGAAAACTCTATTGACGCGATTGCTAACTCTATACAAGTCATAGAATTAAATGTCAATGAAACACTAAAATGGAACTTTGCATTGAGAGTGGAGTTTTATTTTATTTTGTATGATATTTTGTATGATATGTCGGTCTTAGAAACAAGTTACGAAACTTTTTACTGGGACTGACCTTAGTTTGGGATGGCCCCAGATAAGGATGCATGTATCACAACATGAAATAAGCCATTCAACTGGCGACACGCCTACAGGTGGTTAGAATTTATATAAAAAGGGGAAAAAAAAAACAGGCGAGGTAAATGCAGGACATATGTGCATAATGATTTCCCTGGAAGCCGTACGTTTGCCGCATGAATGCTGTGATGCAAGCAGCGAATGTTGCTGATCGAGACTAATTATCTGGTTAATTAAGCCAGCTTTAGCCTGGGAAAAAACATTATTTGCTGTCATAGACAGACAACAGTGTAATTGTGCTGTGCTATTAGGAGGTCATGATATAGATAAACACGGAAGTCCGATCCCTTGCACTTGCACACACGCTATGTATAGATAGATATATGTGGGACTCATCGAGCTACAAGTCGGCATCATCAAGCTGCCGAGGCAGGAAGAACGAGCAAGTAACAAAAAGTGCAGAGTAAATGGCATCACAGTCCGTCTGTGCTGGGAGGATGCCCTCACAAATACTATCTAGTCCTATCTGCAATGATTTGCATGCAAAATAAGCAAGGAGGACAGGAGTCTTCAAGATGTAAATTATGGATCCAGGCGTTGCAGATTTAGACAGACAAAAGTACAGCTATGAACCAGAGTGGCATAGCATAGTCCCGCTGTCCAGTTATATATAATGCGATCTATCTTATAGGTTTCATAACTACTATATATACATGCACATTTGCATCTCCAAGATCTTATAACCAATGACAGTATATCGCGCGACTTATTCAGTTCAACTTAACTAAAACAGGGTACCATTATAATTTGCTGGCAGGTGTTGTCTTTTTAAGTGTCGTTATAGTATTCGTGCCTATCAAGCCTTCTAACGTCTAACTGTATATTTTATAAAAAAATATTTTAACAATATTTATATCTCTAATAAATTTATTTTAAAAATAGATTTTATGATATATCATCTAACGATATTAATTATGTATCATAGATATTATATATTTTTTATATCTTGTCAAAATTAAATACGTTTGACCTTTTTTGGGAGTGAGAAGTTCAGATAAAAGGATGTACATACTCAGTAATCACATCGTGACATCGATTTACCGACGACTGAGTTGTGGTCAATTGGCATTCTGTCCGCGGTTAGTGCCGTGCGGACCCACACAGAACATTTCACCTTCCGAAAAAAGCCGGTAACATTTAAGATTTAGACATTTTAGCCGGACCGAGTGGACGCCAGTGAGCCTAGCAACGGCGTGGTCCAACTATAAAACCCGCGGCACCACCCGGCGTCATCCCCACTGCAGTTTCAGAGTGAGTTCCTGGCACCTCGTTCGTTCCAAGTTTCGCGACGCTCTCGAGCAGGCAGAATGGAGCGCCACGCCGAGAAACCGCTCCTCGTGCTCCTCGTGCTGTCCTGCCTCCTCCTCCTCCCCCTCGTCTCCGCCGTCCCCACGCCAAGTGAGCCTCGGCCATGGCCTTCGCTAGCTCCCCGCTGCTGATTCCTTTCTCGGTTGCTGATTTTGTTCGTGCTATTGCAGGAAGCCTGCGGCTGGGGATGGGGAGCCAGCAGCAGTACCCGCCGGTTCTAAAGCTCAGTTCTTCTCAGGTACTGCTAATCGGCTGTTTTCCTCTGATCTCCCGCGTACCCTGCGTCCTCGCTTGCTGCTGTGTTTCCCTCTTGATTTACAGAACTGTCAGCGAAAGTTCAGAGGTTAAAAATAATTAATTCATCGTTGGTGGATTTGTTTGTCATCTACTAGATCTGATGATGACTTTATGTTGGCACACAGGAGACGGCGATCGCGGCGGCGATGAACACGGGCAGGCCGGCGGCGAGGATGGTCGTGGAGGTGAACGACTACCAACCGTCTGGCCCCAACAACCGCCATGACCCACCCAAGGGTCCCGGAAGAGCTTGAACGGAGCTCGGCTGGACGACCCAATAATCCTTCTCCTTCGTCGGCTTTACCAGTAGTACAAAGTGATTTGCTAGTGCTCCTGTATTCTAGTAGAAATTAAGGTAGAAGCAAAATTACCTAGTTATTATATATATATATACACACACACACAGGCCGCGTGTGTATGGCTTTGGAAGCGCATCGGTTGCTTGTTGTTGTGATTAGGTTGCTGTTCGATCGTCAGGACTGCAAGCAGATGTGTCGGATCCAGCACATTGAGAATTTGAGATTGTTCAGCTTCTGTTCCTCCATCAGCAAAAGCACTAGTTCGAGGCGCAGCATCGTTTAGCAGTGGGGGGCATGCTGATGCAGCATCGTTGCTCCCTCCACCGCCTCATCTTTTGTTGCGTCACGGCTGCTGCCGCCGCCGCCCGTGACAAGCTAGCTAGTATGCGTGCGCTGCTGCTACTGCAGCCTGCAGGGGAGACGAGGCGAGGCGACGTCGAGCTGCGCCTTCGCGTTACTATCCAGCGAATTTTTCCGCGATACCACTAATACGTGACTCGTGAACAACCTCTTCTCTTCGCCGAGCTAGAAACCCCGACCGACCACGTCCATGCCACACGGGCGCCACTCTGCTCCGCTCGTGTCCCCCTGGCCCCCGCCGCGATGTGAGGGGAGGTGGCGTCTGGCGTCTGGCGTCTGGCGTCTGGCGAGATCGAGATGCGGCTTTGACTTGGGCGGGAGAGCGACGCCTCGCCTCGTGACCTCGTGTGTGTCGTTTCCTCCTGTCCGATCGCTTGGGGTCCTCCGCGCACCGCCCTGTGGGCTGACGCCTGACGGAGAGAGCGGGGGGACCCGGTGACGGAGCCACAGGAGCTTTGACATGACGGCACGAGCACCGACGCTACGCGCCGCTCCTGGCTTTGACTTGGTGCTCCTGCCTGCGCGCCCGTGAGGCCGTGATCGCGAGCTCTGCACAAGATGCGCCGGCCCAGCACGCGTCGCTGGCCGAGGGCGGCGGGGGCGAAAACGACGCACTGGAGAGCTGACATGTGGAGGGGACGGACGCAGCGCTGCAACGGCCACTCGCTTCTGCCTTCCTTGGTCCTTCTTCCAACCTTGGAGATAAGCGAAGATCCGATGAGATCCTATGCTAGATAGAGTCCACGTCGCATTGGGTGTTAGCCATTTTTGTCTCTCAACTATGAAGACGATCGTTTTAACTAATAGTGCTATAACGTCAGGTTTTTTCTCTCTCTCTTTTGAATGTACTCCGTATGCAGTAGATATGCACACGCATGTATATTGATCTCTATAAAACCACATGCAAATTTTACCTCTATAAACATCTTTAAAAGATTCTATGCTAGATAGCCATCGGTAGACCTAGGATTTTGTTAAAGGATACTACCTACAAAATTTTACATGTACTTTAGTAAAAATTCATTTAGCAATTCATTACAAATTAATAAGATATGCCCTACAATTTAGGTATATAAATACTCCCTCCGTCAAAAAAAAAACGATATTCTATGATTTAAAATTTATCTGAAAAATCTCAGAACATCACTTTCTTTTGGGACGGAGGGATTATTAAATAACATACTAAGTTAAGATTCAACAGATTAATCTCAATACTTCCATATTATATAATACAAAAGGTCAAAAACCATCCTAAGGGCATCCCAGTGATTCGGTCAAATCGTCTGTGAAATGGACACATCATCGAATAAAAAAAGTGAAGCATTGAGATGCAAAATATGCGAAGAAGAGAGATGTAGGTACATGTTTTATATGTAAGTCTAGCGCTTCGCTCCACGCTATTAACTTCATATCTTTTAATCTCTCTCTCCTGTGGGTAGTATACAAAATATTCATCACTGGCTATTTGATACCCCTTTGGGGACGCCCAAATATATATAAAAGAAAGTTACCATATAACGAGTATTTGAAACCTGGATTGTGTAAACACATCACTAAACACCACAACAATGACAACCTCTAACTAATTCTCCCGATCAGGACTTCGCGGACGCGAAGGGCCAGGAGAGAGTAGCATTGAGAGGGGAAGGGAGAGGAGAGAGAGCAGTGTTCCTGCTTTGATTTCTCTCGCCAGTCGAGACTCCACGGACGCGAAGGGAGCGAGTGGCACTGGGAGGGGAGGGAGGGAGAGAGGCGGCGTTCTATAGGGCTAGATCGGTTCATTGTGTAATCTATTTCGAGCTGGATCATCTGGATGCAAAACAATGTTACCTGTTCATCCTGTGAACTGATGACGGGATGAAAAGGCCGAACCAAATAGCGAAATGCTACTGCATACGTCATGGTTTTGAGGTGCACGGAGTTTCCACCTTTATGTGGCTAATCAGAGCATGCGCAGGCAGGCAGCTATCCTCGTTAGCCTCAGTAAAAAAGCTATCCTACACGTAGGAGCAGAGTGACTGAAGCCACCGCCTCCCAGGCCTCGTTCACTTTGAAAAAAAAAAGTAAACCTGATGAATAGCACCACTTTCGTTTTATTTGACAAATATTGTCCAATCGTGGATCAACTAGGCTCAAAAGATTCATCTTGTGATTTTCAACTAAGCCACCGCCTAACGAGGAGAGAGTGAAAAAACTTAAAATTTGGATAGCATCTAAATAAGCGCCAATCGCATGCCATCGTAGGCTATACTGACAGTCTGACACAGCTCTTCTCTCTCTTCAGAACTTTTTCAGCTTTATCAGATGAAAAGCAAATGTTGGGAACATTTCTCTTCCTCCCATCGCTGTCTCTTGTTGTTGCTTCTGAATTTTATCAGGCCTTGTTTAGATTGTAAATTTTTTTTTTAACCTGGACACTGTAGTATGTTTTGTTTGTATTTGACAAACTTTATCAGATCAAAAGATCCGTCTTATGATTTACAACATATAATTGTTATTTTTTTACCTACATTTAATGCTCCAAGTAAACTAAAATTGATGTGATGGAGATGAAAAAACTTGCAAGACTCAGATAACACATATGTCTTCCTTTCCTTTTCATCATCGATTATATTTACATGGAACAATATTTTTCTTTGATAAACCAACCCAACATCCAACCTGGACCCAAGAACGAAACGAACCACCACCCAAACCAAACAGGGTGGCTTTTCTCAGCCTGACGAAGCCAACATCCAACCTGGAGCGTTAGGGGTGGCCTCAGTAGACACAAGGTGCTCTGCCCTTCTTGTCTCTCTCTAAAAAATTGACGTCAACTTCGATCTCTCTCACTTTTATTAGAGAATTACGTACCAAATTGCCTCAACCCGTGACTTTGATATCCGTAATAGCAGCGGTACGGTCATATAGAGTACTATATGAAGCGGAAGAGTTGTTCCGTACTTAGGAGTTTGTATAAGAAATTTTGGTTTTCTTTGGTCCACGTGGGCCAGTTGAGAAATGTTGTACTCCTACATTGTGTTGTTTGTTTGGTTGCCTGCCGTTGATCACATTGTGGAGATAAAAAGATATCTAGCGGAAGAGTTGGACGTGTAAATTGTGGTATACTTTGGTTTTGGTGATTATTGGATCGAACCCTATCAAAACCTCGTTAGCGAACAGGGTGGTGCGGTGCACGGGGTTAGCGTGGCCCCTGTCCGGTTCCGGTGGCGAGAAGCGTACAAAGCCGCCGGCGCTATCGTTGGGTGGCGTGACGCTGCCCCGCTCGACTGGGACATGAAAATGTTATATTGATCTCCACCAGTTGGCCCAACGGTCAATTGGGCCTTTGATCTGCGCCTTGATCAGGGGCGCCCTATCGTTCTCGGGTCCCCGTCGCGCAACGCTATAAAGAGAAAAGTGAGGACCGGGACGCAAGACACGAGGTTCATCGCAGCCGCCAGCGCCCCACCGGTTTTTCTATCCCTAAGCCGATCTAGAGGGCGCGCGGTAAGCGACGGGAAGCGCCATCGCCTTCATCGCCGCCACTGGACCGCGTTTGCACGGCTTCTCCGACTCCGACCTTAATGGCCACGTCGCTGCAGCGCCATGGCCGCGACTGCGCTAGGCGACCTAAGTCTTCTATATAAGCTAAGTATAACCCACTGATAGTGCTTTGAGACTTATCAGAAAAAAAAAAGATTCCCAATCGATCGGTCCGCACGGCATCCATCCATCCATCCATTTGTTTGTTTGTTTTACCGATGATCCATGGATCAGCTTCGCGTCACGACTCACGAGAAAGCCTAGCGAGGCTAAGCGTTAGCGCAGCCATGAGAGGATTTTGAGCGAGCATGATGACGATCTCATCCATCCCTTTCTCTATCCTTTGACTTGGCTCGTCACATGTGGCATGTCGTGATCGCTGACGATTCATTCGTCGGCACGATGCCGCACGTCCGCCCGCTCGCCGCGCTGCAGCCGGCAGCAAGACGGCTCGAATCTCTCTGCTGCCAACACAGACACAGACACAGTCACACAGCCCATCCATCATCCCTGACCATGATCCATTAGCTCCACGTGTTGGTGGTGCGTGCGCGCGCCGCGAGGAAAGGCTAACCGATTCGTTGCCGGTTATCCAACCCAAGCCTTTACCTGCTTCCACTGGTCGACAAGAAAGCAGTCTCCTTTTCTCTCCATATACGGCGGCGAAGTGGTGATCACGCCGCCATGCAAGGGCATGTACTAGCCATGTACAGATTGGGATGCAGCGATCGAGCAGATCGCATCGCATCGCATCGTAGAAAGACAGACATAATGAGATGGATATATAGATATACACCGATCCAAAACTCCAAAGTAAAGTGATCTATCGATCAGCATATATTCCGGCCAGATGCTAATATATCCTCCATACTCCTATAACCAGATAAGCTTGAGCATGCAGTACATGTGTGCAGCCTGCCAGCGGCATCGATACCCCTGCTGGTGACTGGTGGCCGTGATTTCCAAATCAGCAGCGCAGCATATGCTACTACCGCTGGTGGAGCCACACGCATGCACGCAGTTCCAACGGAGGAGTCCGAGTGGGGTGGTGAGACTGAGACCCCGGCGGG